AACCGCCCAACCCCACCGCTAACAGAGGATAATCATGTGTTTATAAGTAAGGATTATATCTCTATTGATATGAGACCGTTGTAAAAACCAAAAGCAAAACTATGAGAGTTTATGCTCGGACAATATGATACCCACCATTATAGAGAGTCGGGTTTCTAACAGAATCCAATATGAATTCAAAAGAAAGAATATACAAACCTGAAGGTTGGGTTTCCTTGAGGCCAGAAGATATTGGCAAAGCTTTGGACCTTTTCAGGTATGGTGGAGTCATCCACGCCCATGCTTTCAAAAAGTGGAGCCATTGGGTATTGTCCAACATAGCCATGGAAGGGCTTTTTAGAAACGTTTCTGAGCTTGGTTTGCAGGGGGAGGTCGAAAAGCTCTTCAAGTGCTTCGAACAGCCCCTTTCTAACCTCATCGGCCACTTTGTCAAAGGAGGCTTCGAAGCACCCAAATTCCTGGAGTGCTTCCTTCACCAGTGCTTTTGCCAACTCCCACTTGGGGCTGCCTGCTTCTAGGTTGGAGAAATCTATGTGGGGAAGCTTTAGAGAGGGTTCGCTATCCATTTCCCTTTGGTCAATGTGTTCTGTTGGAGAGGGTGTGGAAAAAATGGTTGGGTTTGTCCCCTTTTATACACCTCATTATTGCTACAATAATTACTTTTTTAATTAAGAAGATTAGGCAGCTTTTGTTGTCATAAGAAAATTAGGCAGCTTTTGTTATAAAAATGACATTTCACGGACATCCTACATCGATAGGAGAGAGGAACGAGTATCAGCGAGGATACTGAGCCTCAAAGGGAGGTATATTGTGAGACCATATTGATTGGAGAAGGGAACAAAACATTATTTATAAGAGTAATAGACATGTTTTTAAAAGTTCGAGAAATATGATAATATCTGCTATCATGGGCTTGGGCTATTGCATTTGAACTTCTCCTACCTAAAACTTTTGAACAATTCAAGTGTTTAATCTCATTCTCTTCTTTAGTTTTCATTCTCAGTGTTAATGTCGGTTTAGTAGGGTGTTTTCAACAAAAGTATTCTTTTCGATCTCTATGCATTTCACCATTCCATCGAAAATTTCCTTGACTTGTCTAGAATCGAATCTTGACTCTTAAAATTAGACTCAAATATCTTGATCATTGTCTTTCAAGAGTTTTACGGGAGTTCTTCAAGTTCTTCGTAGTTGAAATAATTTTTGTAAGTGATTAACAATTTAGGTTTGTGAAAACATATTTGTTCTTTGTAAATATCGCCCAAAGAGCTTTTCTATATTGCTTACTCGTCTTCAAATGATAGTGTGATCAAATGCGACAGAGTGGTCCAAAATCATGAATTAATTAAGTAATGTCACCGTGTGGTAATACGTCAATTCTTTCAATTTAATTATTAAAGATGTTTCACTAAAATACACATTATAATTACTATATATATATATATATATATATATGCACGTGGGTCCCCTTTAAATTTTAATTTTTTACATTATAAAGTTTATTAAATTTGTGGAGTTAGATTTCTCTAAAATAATTATTTCTTGTTTGTTTTTTTTTAACAAAAAAAAAAAATTTGAACTAATGAGTACTTTAAAGGGTTAATTCTCCGGATAGAACATCTCAATTATTATTTTCTAAAACCTCCGGATAGAAAAGAAAAAATTAAGTACATAATTATCTAATTATTCTTATACTAGGATTGAAACATATTAAATGATCTAAGTCATTAATATATAAATTTGAAATAATATTTATATGGTCTATATCTTGGGTGATTTTTTTCTACCCCTCCCTTTCCCTTTGCCATTTCCCACCTAAACCGTTAGGTGGGTCCCACGGGCCCATCTCCACGAGAAAAATGAGACATCCCTACTTATAACTTTGTACATCAATTTGATTATTCTACTATCATATTTGCTAACGGTTTGTCACATTATCTAGGTGGCCTTATATTGTGGTCCATAGAGTTGTTTTTTTAATTAGACTAATATAATTAAATAACAAAAACCTACATCATGGCTTCCAAATTATTGATGTATTTTATTATTTGGGGTTATTAGATGTAAATCATATTATTCAAGCTCTATTATTATAGGTAAATTGTGGACTATGCTATTTGCAGTAACATAAATCATAACAACCTCCTGAATTATTTCAAGAACTTTATTGTTAACTTTTTAATGTATTTCTTATATACTAATTTTGGGTTTAAAATATGATCTCTCCACACCATAATCATATCTATAAGATAAGATTATATACGATCGTCAAAATCTAGTTATATTTATATAAATGGCATCAATAATTTATTTAGATTTCACCAACTCCATTTTTTAATGATTTGAAAAACATGATTTGTTTTTATTATTCTCACGTATTTGTATATTTTTAATGGAGCAAAACCACTACTACTTTTATTATTAATTTTAAAATAGACTAAAATCTTAGAAAATATTTTATTTTAAAAATATCTTTGTAGTTAAATGTTCATAAAAAGGGCAACATGTTGATAATTTGTATCATAATCTTGAAGGGAACGGCAAAGAAGGAAAGAAAGAAACATATACATTACTAAGTTAAAAAAATTCTTTATGATTGAACTAACCGCCCAAGCCCACGCTAGCCGGTATTGTTCGTTTTGGTCCGTTACGTATTATCATCAGTCTTACAGTTTTAAAACACGTTTATTAGGGAGAAGTTTCCCTTGGGGACCAGTATCATCACTGACACACCGCCGGTGTATGGTTCTGATATCATTTGTAATCACATTAAAAAGTAGATAGTATAGTCATCAGTCTCACGATTTTTAAACATGTCTACTAGGGAGAGATTTCTCTATTCTGGTCCCATCATCTTTGTTGATACAGCGCTAGTATTTGACTTTAATATGATTGGTAACCGCTCAAACTCATCGTTAGTAGATATTGTCCCGTTATGAATCAATGTCAGCCTTACAATTTTAAAATACGTCTACTAGGGAGAGGTTTTACAACCTTAAAATCATAAGACTGACGGCGATATGTAATGAATTAAAGTAAGCAATATATCGCTTGTTGGGCTATTACCATCACTGAGACGTTATATTTTAAGTAGAAGTCTTTAGTTAATTTGGTTGCAGAGAAAATTGGTGTAAATTAAGAAAAAATAAATGGACATGAATTGCTTTTAAATTGATTATTTCCAAACTCAAACCTTAAAATATTGATTACACTAAAAATAAGAGGACTTTTTTATAAAAAATATGAAAAATTAAGGGTTTAATTATTAATGAAAATTTTAAATCGAGTAATAATTTTTGTCAATATACTACCTTGTAATTTTTTAATTATTTTTTTTAGAGTTTAGACATATTATTGGAAGTTAAAATCTTTTTTTCCTTTAATGTAAACAAAGCAAAGTATTCTAGAAAAAT